TTGGAAACCTTCTCCTGGTTTTTTCCTTTTCTTATTTTTTTATTTTTTCAATTTTTATTCATTTTTTTACTATTATTTTTCTCTATCTTCACGGCCCAAAATTTCCCAACTTTTTCCCAAGTCGAAAAAGCAGGGGGGGGCTCCCCCCATGTCCCCATGGCGACGGCCATGGTTCCTTGACATTTTGCGGGTTACGAAAGACAAAATTATACCTTCATTCTTCCAGTATAGTTTCGTAAAAGGCCTATTTTCATTTTTTACCACGCCTTTATTGATACACCTTTAAGAACAATAAAATGGTTGAAGTTCGATTCATTTTTTAGAAAGTTTTCAAGACACTTTAATTGATTTTCATTGATATCTGAACTGATTGTTAATGAAATAATTCATTTTGTAATCAAATATCTATCCCTAGCCATATCACTACTTTTCTAAGTCATGCTACTCAAGTTACTGTTGTACACATCATCATTAACTAGAAGTACTGCCTTCATAGAGAATAAATAATTATTCCAAAATTAAAAAATGCCAACTGTTTCCAGTTGTTTGTTACGATGAATTTATTCATCAGATATTCAGACTTATTGAATTGGATGAAAAATAAAAATCGTTTATGAAAGATCTATACATAAAGAGAGACAAATATCAATTTGAAATTTGTCACTCTACAAAATGTTCATCAGTTACCTTCATGAAATATATTCTATTCGTTTACGTTAAATGGACGTCTGATAAATATAACAAACAAAATTGTAAACACTGTCACTGGTAGGAATTTTTATTCTCTTTTTTTACGAGAAATGGATGCAGATGTTCAGTCATCAATGGCAATTAATTTCCAACAGATCTACTTCATTTAACTCACTAACGCATATTCGCTTATAACTATGAGAACATATCTTTGTCATAATGGGTGACTCTGACTATGAGGAAAAAATCAGCCTTTTTCTATTGATGAATTGTATGACGAACATTTTTCGGTAGGTAACAAATTTTCGAAGAGGAAGAATTTCAAGGCATACTTGCATATTTCATTTGCATGGACAAATCAAGGAGTGAGTTCTTCGCACAGTGTAGTGCGAAGTATTTCAAAAATGAATTTGTCATGTGTACGCCATATCACAATATGACAAAATGAGAAAAAATACTTTTATGGCCGAAGTGATGAATAAAGAGACCAAAATCCGAGCTAGTAGGCCGTGGTAGATTGGAACCTAAAATATCAAACGTTTCGTCTGCTACTGCGGCAGACATCATCTATTGGACAACATCCCTTTTTGAACAAAAATGAATAATTATTATGAACATTTTTTTTATATTGGGTGTTGTCATCTCTAGCTTGGACAAGTGTTTCCATTCTCCGAGGCACTCCACGAACTCGCTTTCAAATATACTCCTGGGACATGTTATTCCACTCCTCTATGAGCGCTTAATATGAATACGTAAAGAAAATGAAATGCTTTATTCAATAATTCGTGAATATGTAACTAATCCCGACATCTCGATGAATGAAAAAATAATGAATAGGGAATGAACAATGCTTGCATATGATTTTAAAGGTCATCCGAAAGATGTTTCATACAGTTCGTGCGTTACCGATAGACAATGAAAAAGCTTATCTGGACTACATATCCTTGATTTGGTAATGTTACCTATTACCTATCCTTGTTTTACTTAGGTTTCATTTAGGGTATTTTAGATGATTTTTAACACAGATATAAAACTACAGTTTCCTTAAAAATATTTCAATAAATGATTTGTTCTTAGATGCCATGAAACTATTATACCCATAACGAATTTGTTTTAGTTGCCAATCGGCCTCTTGTTTATGATAAATATGGACAATAAGACATAATTATATTGAAGTTTAGGATCTCTATGATTATCAGCATGTGCTAGCAATTCAAAAACTATTACTGTGAGGTGGGGCTACCGTCAATGCAAGACTAAGGTAAAACAAAGAAATAGGTATGTTAGATATTTGCAAATTGAATTCATTTCATATACTTTCTCAGTTTGAAGTTCATAATACAAAAATATATTAGTTTTTTGGCCCTCCAGAAAATCGTCGAAGTATATATCAAGGTTATCGATATCTCGTACTAGCACCATAGATCTTACACCATAGCGTCAGGTTCATCTGTCATTTTCATATCTTAGGGTTCAAGCTTATTTCGAATCAGATCTACTCAGAAAAAAAAAACCAATTATTCAAACCAGATTTTCATGAATATGTCATTGTTCAAATCATAGTAAAGTGTTTCTTTCTCTCACTTTAATCGAAACAAAATAGCCAAAGATGTTTGAATGATCGATTTTCCAAAATTTTCTCGTGCAACTTCCAAAACACGCATACTTTAGTTACAATAGTTTTCCGTAAAATAATCAGGTGACACACCACTGGAATACAACATAGTCTTCTCTTCCTTCGATTGACCGAAGAGGTCGCCACTTTCCCCTCAGAGAATCAGTCGAAATCTAAATAATCGGGGTTGGGCGTGTTACTTCTGTAAATTGTGGAAAAAGTGAGTGTTTTAAAGATATGTAACTGTAGGATAAAAGGATTTTGGTGAGTTGAATAATTTGATACATGTTTTGTCTTCGTGCACCAGCTTTGACCGCGTGGAACTGTCCTTTTTTGGAAATACGGAAGTCCAAAGATTCATCTGTTTGACATTTGTACATTTAAAGTGTTGAAAACAGTGAGAATAATTTGACACATTCATCCCCCAGTGCACGTGGGGTACTTTCATTCACGATCAATCTTATCAGGTTGATGTAGAACTGTGTGAAACGGTTGCAATTTTACATAAGCGAATAATAGTGTTTCTCATCTAAAAGTTCACTAGAATCGTTCGGATTTTTTGATTTCCCTTGTATGCAATACAATCGATACTGAAATAAATCGGTATCAAATTTCAATTCCAATTTTTCAAGTAATCAATATATTCTGAATCTGACGTTGACTTTATTTATATTCGTGCTTGACGCATCTACTCTGGCCTGCTTCTGTGTTCTGCTTTCCAGGAAACATAGGCGTAACCGGAAGGGCCTTTTAAGATTATTTGAAAAAAAAAATAACTATTTCATAATATAACTTTTAAGCAGCAGGTTACGAATTCCATACTACTTTTCCGAAAAAAAGTGCAACATTATTTCAATTTGCATGTTTCTTTTTGTTCGATTTTTTTTGTAGAAATTCATGTATTCAATATATTCATAATTTCCAAAAAAGTCCAGTCTAACTATGTAACGTAAAGAAGTACCTATTTATAATCTTATCAGATCGTATGGTTTCATCCAACGCCGATATGAAGTTCATCCAACCTCTCTTGGAGTGATAAAAGAAAAGAAAATCGACTTCATTGCTCCTTTCATCAGTATAGACTCTTAGTTGAGTTATTTCCGTTTCTGCATCGGAAAACAACCACAAATTGATAAGAATGCTCGATATATACACAGCCGTTTATTATTCAAAGAGATATGCAGAGATAATTCTCAGTTGCGGTGCAAATTTCCGAATCGTGCGACAAAATAAAAGTAACATTTTTTAAATATTCACTTCATATTTCTCAGATTTATTTCAAATACTGCTCCATCGTTACTTCCAGATAAGATGGGTGGTTTTCCTTCGGGGTTCCAACCTAGGTCCTCTTTTGTTATTATTAATTAAAGATTAATGTGGAAGTTTGAATCGTGAACGTTTATGTTCTTCTGATTACTGGTTATTTTCAATAAATAATGACACGAAGGATTGTGCATATCTCTCAGATTTTTGCTGTTTGGTCTAGCACCAATGATTTTTATCGCCTGAATCATCGCGAAACACCTTCCTTTCACTGGTATCTTCAATCTTGTGAACAGAAAACAGTCACAAGGGGGCAATTCTGGTGAATACGGTGGTTGAGTGTTGTTTTTTACTAAAAAATTTACGAACAAGTACATACCCATATCTGGATCGCCGTTGACGTCATTCAATAATTCCTGAGGGATGCTCATGCGACGGTTTTTCTGTCAAAATTCAACAGTATTGGAAAGAACTTTGCTGCCACACGCTTCATGCCTAAAATTTTTGAAAAAATTGCATGGCAATTTCCTTATCTCCTACAGAAATACAATGACTTCAAAGATCTATAGAGATGTCATTTGATTGAAAGCTATTATTTGGGAAACATACTTCACTTACACCGACATTCATAAGGTAAGAGCATCAATAGATTTCAGAGAAAGTTTATCAAAAACAGAACTGACTGAAAATCTATGTCAGAACTTACTAAGATTTAATTTGATGTTCACTGTGGAAGGTTTACAAAACCGCGACACGTTGAATTGGAAGAACATTTAAAGAACGCATAGAAAAACTTAGAACCAGTTTCTAGACTGGAAAAATAAATTCAACGTATGCTTCTCATTTCCTCGCGGAGGAACATGAGCTCAATCATGAATTTGAAACTAGACCTTCTGGAAAGTAAGAAAATCAGTAGGTACGAATATTTCCAATATCTAATGAACGACCAAATAGAATTGAATAGCTCCCCGTTACTTGATATGTTCTTACAATATAATAATGTTTTTGTCGCCCTATAGTAATAAGTACTTATAATATTATTGGACCCAGGCGAAGCTTACTGGCTTACAGAGACAGGCTTGTCTGGCAATCAGTGGTGCCATCAGTACCACACCGTCAGCGGCCATGGAGATCTTTCCAGATCTACCTCCTCTCCACATTTTTCTCGAGAGGCTAGATAGACTGCATATAGACTTTTGCACATTGCCAATTGCACAAATCAATTTAATGCAGAGAACAACAGACTGTTGGATAACACTGGAAGTCACAGCATTCTGGAAATCACCTCTGACTTTATGCCTCCAACTGTCAACTACGAACTGCCCCGAGGACTGGATCCTCCGGGAGAAGGAAATATTAAGAGCAGATAGTTAGGATCAAAAAGCACCTTCCGGTTCTGGTGCAGGTGTTTTCAGTCGTAGACCCAGGACAGAGATATCAACCTGCCTAGGAACCTGTGCGACTATATTTCAAACGAAAATTTACGCTATTGAATAAATAATATTCTCGTACAGTCAAGTCTTCCTATCGACTCTCCTCGATAGGAAGACTTGACAGATTGTCTCTGGTCTGAATTCCTAGCCATACTGGCCTGGAAGGCAATGAGGCTTCTGACTCTTTTGCAAGCAGCTTCATCGGGCCAAAACCTGTCATTGGCATCGCTTGAGGCTTTGCCAAATAAAGATTGAACACCTGGATGGCAAAAAGATTTATGAACTTCTGGCACCATATTCCAGGATTGGCTAACTCCAAGGCGTTTATTCACCCTTCGAAGCTTGATACCAAACAGTTGTTGGACTGCAGTACGGGCAGTACGATGTCTAACGGGCCTCTTATAGTTTACTGTCATTTCAATCATCATATGCAGAGACGTGGACTGTCGAAAACAGTGTGTGTCGCCTCTGTTTGGAAACTGATGAAACAGCAGAGCACATACTTTGTGCCTGCCCCGCTGTTAACCGAATCAGGTTTGTAAAGTACGGCCCTGCCGAACTCTATTACCGTCTGACCTGAAAGATCACTCACCATACAAACTAATCGGCTTCGTTAAGAAGCTGGACTTATTTGGTCGAGTGTGAATAGGTGTGAGCCACAATAAAACTTTGCGGGTCTCTGTGGAGATTCGAATAGACCCACTCACTTTGGACCTAACCTAATATTTATCAATTGGTTGATTTGTTTTTCACGTAATTTTTATTAGTGAAGAAGTATTTTTACATGCCTTTATTGTCAATAAAATGATTGTATTCTCAAAGAATGTGAACTTTCACGGCCGGGGAAAACTCTGTGAAAGCTATTTTCTGGTTTTAATGACCGTGGTCTGCAGGTTCTTATACCTGACGTTTCGTCTGCGGTAGACATTATCATTATGAAGTAATGATCGCAGTGCTTGAGTTGTTCAGGGCAGAGCAAACTAAAAAGTTTGCCCTTTCTACACATGTAGTAATTTCTCCTTTACAGTTTTCATATTTTTCAGAATGTGGAAGATGTATAGATTTACTTTTTTTGTATGAAGATGGAGTAGTGGAAAGCCAAAAACTTTCTTTCCCAAAAAGTAAAAACACCCATAGTGAATAATAATTCAGCATCACTCTAATTGCACTAATGTATCGCTTTATGTAAACATAAATTCAATCTGTATTCGAATTCAAAAATGACAGTTCAACTCAAATATTTTGAAAAAATGTGAACTGAGACCTACAAATGCAAAGTTTCATTCTCATTTCATTCCATCTTTGATGGTGACTTGCTTAGCGTTGAAAATGATGAATATGAAATTGCAATTCGCGCATTTCATCACTATTCCTAAAGTAACTCGGGGAGTTCTTAACATAACCTGCCCCAAACAGGAGGCTAATGATCATAAGGCGTTGACTCCAACAGAAAAAATAGTTATAGTGAGTCACTAAGGGAAATGATCCTAAAAAACGGTAGAAAAGATTCGCAAGTTGTTCCTANGTAGCCTAAGGCGTTGCCTCCAACAGAAAAAATAGTGATATTGAGTCACTAAGGCAAATGATCCTGAAACATGGTTGAAAAGATTCGCAAATTGTTCCTAAAGTGACTCGGGGAGTTCTTAACATAACCTGCCCAAAACAGGAGCCTAATGACCACAGTAGCCTAAGGCTTTGATTCCAACAGCAAAAATAGTGATATTGAGTCACTGAGGCAAATGATCCTGAAAAATGGTTGAAAAGATTCGCAAATTGTTCCTAAAGTGACTCGAGAAGTTCTTAACATAACCTGCCCAAAACAGGAGCCTAATGACCATAATAGTCTAAGGCGTTGACTCCAATAGAAAAAATAGTGATATTGAGTTACTAAGGCAAATGATCCTGAAAAATGGTTGAAGAGATTCGCAAATTGATCCTAAAGTGATTCGGGGAGTTCTTAACATAACCTGCCCAAAACAGGAGGCTAATGACCATAGTAGCCTAAGGCTTTGATTCCAACAGAAAAAATAATGATATTGAGTCACTAAGGCAAATGATCCTGAAACATGGTTGAAAAGATTCGCAAAGTGTTCCTAAAGTGACTCGGAAAGTTCTTAACATAACCTGCCCAAAACAGGAGGCTAATGATCATAGTAGCCTAAGGCGTTGATTCCAACAGAAAACATAGTGATATTGAGTCACTAAGGCAAATGATCCTGAAAAATGGTTGAAAAGATTCGCAAATTGTTCCTAAAGTGACTCGGGGAGTTCTTAACATAACCTCCCCAAAACAAGAGGCTAATGATCATAGTAGCCTAAGGCGTTGACTCCAACAGAAAAAATTGTGATATTGACTCACTAAGGCAAATGATCCTGAAAAATGGTTGAAAATATTCGCAAACTATTCCTGAACTGACTCGTGGAGTTCTCAACACAACCTGCCCCAAACAGGAGGCTAATGATCATAAAGCATCGACTCCAACAGAAAAAATAGTGATATTGAGTCACTAAGGCACATGATCCA